GGCGTGCTCCGGTAGAACGACCGTTGCTTGGAAGCCGTGATCCTGTCTTGTACGCTGGTGCGGGCACGAAATAATGTCGTGTCCGCTCGCCAGGGCGTCGTGCAGTTGATCTTCTACGAGTCCCACCGCGCATCGAGTGTGGTAGTGACATGCCCAGGGCGGAGACATGGCAGCCCCCTGACCTATTGATTCGTGAAAAACTCCGCAGAGATGGCGAGGCGCGTGCGTTTTACTCGCCTCCCGTGCGGTCGAGCGAGCCACGTCCCTCTCCGATCTCGCTACTCGAAAAGCCTCAGAAACTACGTCGTTCCCGTGCTGCTGTTCCAAGCTGGTACTCGTCTCTGAGATGGTGGACCCTATACGGCACATGGGACAGTGGAGGGTATCGCCAAGTCGGGGAGGGGTCGTGATTTTCAATTCCCTATGGAACCTTACTTGAAGCGCCATGAGATTTGTGCTGCCGTAGCCGAGGTTGTCCGTCGGCGGGGAAACACAATAAACAAAATCTTCGGCGGACCGGACCCTCTTTTTTTCAACTGGCCAAGTAGACAATTTTCGGTCTTCTTGTTCGTCACAGGAGGCCGAAGCTGATGCTCAAACTGGGGGAGGGTTCATGGTTTGCGATTCCCTACCGAACCATACTCGCTCGGGGCAACACGTCATGGACATGGCACGAATAAAATCCCCTTCACGAAAACTGCTGAAATTCATGCGTGGGTGGGTGAGTGGGGGGGACTCCACAACAATGAAACAGTCGATGAGGTTCGCGTTGTTCTGGGGCCCTACCGCCGAAAACCACCGCCGCCGCTCTGAACCGCTGGAAGCTGTCACACAGCACTGCATGTGCGGCCAACCGTAGGGCCCATGCGCATTGCTTGACGGAAAGAGGCGGCGCCCATCGCCTCACATGCAGCAGCCGGGTACACGGGTAGCCTCCTACGCAGCAAGATTAATAAAACGATTGCCGTAGGCGTTCGATGTTCTTGGGGCGCTAACGGCGAAAATGCTACGAAAGAGAGGTAGACTACAAAGGAAGAGAGGCTCGAAAAGACATGACATGAGCTCTCGAGAAGGCACTCACTCTCATCCCTCTGGCGCACCGTAGGCTTGAACACGTGTAACGAACGGCGACATCCGATGTGCGCTCAGCAACAACAAACAGCTCACAACAAACAGCTCACAACAAACACGACAGAAGAAAAACAGTCGTCGTTTCCGAAATGCTGTGGAGATACCATGTACGTTGGTGGAGACTTTTTTGTCTGGTATGAAGTGGAAACAAAGAAGAACTTGACTATGTGTAGACTGGAAGCACTACGGATGAACAATTATCTCAATGCGCTTGCCGTCGCGATAGATGCGCACCGCTACCGCTATAGAACGAGCAGACTGTTGTCTAACCTGACTACGAAAACCGTACGACCATTGCAGCACATTCCGAGCATAACAGCAGCAACCGCAGCAGCAGCAGCCGCTTGTGTACAAATGGATTGCCGTACCCTTCTCGCGATAAAAGTATCTCAGGCAGGAACCACAGGAGGGGGTCCAACCCCCCCTCCTATGTGACCCCGGTTGGGTCGTCTAGCTCGTGGAAGCCGAAGATGGGAGCCAGAGGGGCAGACGACAGAGTCGAATGATGGGAGACAACAAAAACAAATGGTCACTCAAGAACAAACGCAAAAGAAAAAGAAAAAAGATGCGGCGCGCAGCCCGCAGGACCTGTGGAATAAAGTAGGACACAGCACTATTGCGGCAGTTTACAAGGTCGTACATGATTGGTTCTAGAGGAATAAGTGTCGGTTCACGTGTGACGTTGTTGTTGTTGTTGTTGTTGTTGTTTCTCACATTGGCTCGATAGTCCACAAAAGATGGGGAGCCCGTGGTCTCAAAACCCGGCACATGCGACGCCGCGAGGAAACGAAAACAAAAATAGGGTACAAACCACTCGGAAAAAGAAACAAAATGAAGAAAGAAAATAACAGGTACCTCACCGACCGTTCGAGAAAAGAGCCCTCATCTATCTTAGACTTATTTCAATAGATAGAGATGGATTTGTTATGTGTTTTGAGAAAAAAGAAAAAGAAAAATAAAATAAAATACATGAGGACGCTTCCCACACCCACCTGAAGAAAAAATCAAAGGGTAACGTACCGGCACCAGGCACTAAAGAGGCGGCAGATGCGCCGACAGCAAGATGTACAAAAACAAAAGCAACAGCAAAAGCGAGATCAAGGTACCCAACACAGCAGAGTAGGCAGGGAGGACATGAAAAAAAAGAACGTGTATGAAGACGAATGCGGCGTGGCTTCGACGATGAACATGTGGCTTGCCTCGTCGAGGTCAGTCCTGAACAATGAAGAGCTGTATGGTGTGTCAACCAACGGTCTTGCATCTCTGAGGTTAGGAAACTAACACGAGGGCTCCTCACAGCACAAACGATTGGAGAGTAAGAGTCTGCTGCGGTTGAGGCGAGGTGAGCTGCAACGACAAACAATCTGCAATTGTCGGAAGGCAAAAATAAATAAATAAATAAACAATAGGGTCCTGGTCACGCAGAGTGGTCAGGAGATGGCAGGGCGAGGCAGAAGTGCTGGACGCGGCGGCAGTGCCGCGGATGGCGAAGCGAGTCCCACTCGGGTGAGTGTCAGCGAGGTGATGCTCGGCTCCACCCAGAAGCCGCCCGAATATGGGAAGACACTGTTCGCTGCTGCATGGAGGCGGTTTCTGCTTCGGTACGCGGGGTATAAGCGCGTGGTGGGGAGAGGCAGCGAAGGTCGGGTGGTGCAAAGGCAGCCTACTTCGATATCCGAGTTGCTGCTGGTGCACATCCGCAAATGCTTGCCTTCTCTGTACTTCGAAGGCAAGAAAAACCTGACGGAGGCAGAGCTGCTGTAAGGTCTGTCGCCTATCGCCGAAATTTCGGGAGAGGCGTTGGTTTAGTCAGCCTAGGCGAAGGCGGGTGTGACCCGCGCGGCTATCATGAAGCCGGGCGCTTCGGTGCTGGAACGAGTGTATGCTGTTCATAGTGCGTTGGGATACAACCCGGCGGAGAACCCGAATGTGGCGCGGCTGCAACGCGACGCCGACGACGAATGGTTCGAGGAGTCGGCGCACGTTGTCAGCAAGGCTCTGGTGAAAGGAATTTCGCCTCCAGAGTTTAAGGCAAACGTCGAGAGCTCTCTGGATCTCCAAGGAAACTGGAAGGAAGATCCTGGATGTGTCTTTGCTGTCATGGTCAAGGAGGCAACTGAATGGAAAAAGATAGAGAAGGTCTACGCGGAGCGTTAAGCCTGTAGTGGAGGTCGTGCTGCTGGGGAGAAGTCGGACAACGCTGCTCGTGGGGATGCGTCTCGCAAGCCAAGGGGACAGCGTTCCGGCGGTGGGCAAAGTGGCGAGTCCGGCTCTTCTGGGAACTGCTGGATATGCGACAAGCCAGGCCATTTCGCTCGACACTGCAAGAAGGCCTCGTCTGAGAAGTCTGGGGGCAAGCCTGCGCCGGCGGCGGCAGGGTCTGGAAAGTCACCAGCGCGAACTCATCATCAGCAGCAGGCGGGTCAGCAGCGAGCAGGTCAGCAGCCGGGATCAATCGTCCAAGGTAGGGACGCTTTTTCGGAGGAGCAGCAGCAAGGTGACGGCGATGGCGTGGCAGCGTCACTTCCCTCGCCGCCTGTTCCCGTTGAAGGGACTACTTTGTCGCCTGACGCTACGACGGTTCCAGCGAGGCGGTCCCAGACCATGGATGGCGTTGAGAGCCTGCACGCCGAAGGAGTCGACGTCGATCGCATTGGTACGTGGTGTTCGGCTGATTTGTCTGCCCCAAGAGCAACTGATTCTACGGTGTGCCCGGTGCAGGCGGTGCTGGACTCTGGGTCAGATCCGACGTAATTGTCTGAGCGTGTCGCGCGCAAGCTACAAGCAAGCTTTCCTAGTAGTCCGATCACGCATCCTTTTGAGGGTGCGCATCATGTCCGGATGGCAGACGACAGTTTAGTGCCTACAACAAAAAAGAAATCACCGTTGCGGTTGGCGTTGTACACGGAGTGGGGTCCGGTGGTGTTGGAGCCATTCCGTTTTTCCATCATGCCTAGTGAGGACGACACGATCCTCCGTGGAGGAGCAACCCTGAAGAAGTTGGAGATAGACGTATAAAACAGTCTTGCCGCTCACGCACGGCAGAAGGCTATCGCCTCTGTAAAGGGGGTGGAGAACCCGGCGTTCCATGAATGACGGCGTGTTGCTGTGGCGGTCGAGGCGCTGCAGCACAACAACGAAGAAGAACCGGTGGACGGTCATGATGAAGCGGTGACTCGGGCGTTGTCTCGAAGACCCAACATATCT